AAGAAGTCCAAAGTCACAATTTCAGATGTGGTATTTCAGTTATGGTAATGGCAATGAACTGATTACTTTATCATTATATTCATTTATTTTTGTCACATTTGCATTTGGCCTTACATTGGGTGTTATAATTTCAGTCGGTTTTTTATTAGGTATACAAATTCGAGGTATAATTCGAAATCGTACTGGTATTGAGGATTATATCGGTAATATTTATTGTAACGATTTCTAAAATTCTTGTTAACATTTAATTGTTTTTTATAATCTGCATATGAAAAATTATATTTGTAAGACATGCTAATGTGCTTCAACTATAGACAAGTCCTGCTTAAACATTCAAATTTGATATGCAGTTTGCAGTTAGCTAACTTTTGAGCGAACAGTATGTTATAAAATTACACTATTATAAATTCTGCTTACTCAGGCAGTAATTCTTATTCAGCACTTGCAATTATATACTAAATTTCAAATGCTATTTAATACTAAATACTAAATTTCAAATGTTACCGTCAAATATTTATGAACATTTATGCTCATTGCAGTTGATAAAGCAAATGCACGTAAACGAAATACTGCATTTATCTATCCTTATGATTTGGGTTGGCGTCGTAATATATCCGATGTTTTATTAACATGGGATGGTATACCAAAAGGAAATGGAATTTGGTGGCCTATCGTACATTCAACTACACAATTTACACTTTCGGTTAGTATTTAAACGAATAATCAAACGCAAAATGAAAAATAATTTTAGAAACTGTTTGAAATAGTCCAGTCTTCCTACATTTATACAAATAAGCCATTTTAGATAGTTGCTACCATTTTTCTTATGATAAGAGTTCATTACATTTTAAAATATCTTTTGGTTGTTATTTAATTTTTTTATAGAAATTTAAGCTACTTTTATGCATTTAATTACTGCAACTCTAAATTGAATTTCAATTATTTCTGTGATTAAAAAAATATCGGCAGAAATTTTCTGGAGCATTCCAGAAAACTTTTACTTATTTGTTGATTTTCTAAATCAGTGGTGCTTTCTATCCGGAAACTTTTCACATGTCGTGTCAAATTAAGATAATTTTTTAAAAAACAAATATATCTATCAAATATTTACGATGAAAAGAACAGCGTAAATTATTCAGGACTTACTAAGGAAAATTTATTTTTCTTTAAATATTACTGTTTCACAAAAAGTGCTATCTTTTTATTCTTTGTCCTTGATATATTGAAAGAAATTTTCAAATCTCTATCGCTGAAATTCAATGGACAGTTTAGGTTGAGGATATATTCATTTGAGCATTATTTAATGTCCGTTTGTGGAACGATGATAGAGGCATTGACTGTCCTTAGTACTTCTTTTGGAGTATGACTCTCACTTTTGTCACAATAAAGCTTTTAATTGGAACCATTTAGAAGATTATTGTTATTGTAGAGTAGATTGGTTGGTTGTTGTTGGTGGTTGTGATAGTATGATGGGATGGGTTATTCTTCAGTTCTCAAATCGACACACTTACGCATAAATAAATTCGTCAATTTGTTCAAAAGAAATAATTAACATCTTTTTTTTGGCGGAGTTCATTTTGATTTATTAGTTGCTCGATTTGAAATATTCGTTTTGTTTAAAAAAAATGCCTTTTTATCATTGTACTAAAGAATGCTAGAAGTAAATTAAATTGTTTTCATTGATAAAGATTCTTGCACAACTGATTTCAACAGAAATGCAATGGTGCATGCTTTCTCAAGTAATTCTCGAATGTTCATTAACATAAATTCCATAATAGTTTTGCTATTTGAGATTAATTTTCTTTTCTTTTTTTTTGCATTATTGAATTTAAATAACGGAATTTAATGTTTTTATCATTTCGGAGAAATATTTGAGGAGGAACAATTGTTACAAAAGAAATACAAGCGAGATAATGCTCATGAAGTTGAAATTATACGGGATTTTTCGGGTGGTTATTGTTCGTCACTTAAATTTGGCATATCTGTTTGGTTTTGTCAACCGTGGTCAGATGAAACACGGCAACTAGTGAGGGTAAGTCCAACTTCTCTTTATTTTCACTTCAGTTACTTATTGCAAGTTATCATACATTCCTCGATTTTCAATTTAATTTACAGCATGCAAAAATTTCAACTTAATCATATTAGGCTGAGAATTTTTTTGTGAAATCATATTTTTAAGATTTGATATTGCTCTCATAATCATGATTTTTTTGTTATGTGAAGATTTTGCAGGTTGGCGAACATTGGATGGTAACTCGAGTTAGTAAACATTGGTTTTATGGCGCCTTACTGAATAAGCAGAAAACAACGGAATCGGAAAAAGAAAAGATTATTGTGATTAGAGGATGGTTCCCACGAGTGTGCGCTCGAAGATTATGACAGAAAACTAGAAATGATGGTCTTTTTTGTTTCAATTCCAATCTTTCATTTAAATTCACTTATTATTAGTTCGCCAGTCAACTTTCTCAACGAAAAGAGAAGTTGAAGAACTTCAAATCTGCCACATTTTGATGATCTACCTTAAATTTATTATATTGCAGCGATCTCATTGTAAAACTTTTCCAAAAGCTAACAAAGCTTTTGTTTTAAATACTTATTAACATAAATTCTGACAATGGCTTCTTCGGTGTATTGTTCCGATTGAAGAAAAATCAAATAGAGATGACGATTCCAGAATCTATTCTTTAAAATGCTAAAATATTTTGTGGATATTTACGATTTTTGAATGACACGTATGAGAAATTACAGAAAATTCGTAATCTTCATAATGCAAATATTACCTTTCCTAGCAGAAAAACGATTTCGGAATATGAATCTTAGTGGTGAACGATATTTGTGATGTTATTTTTTAGAATTTTCTGAAGTGATATGAATTTGAAGAAATTGAGTACTATTTATGACTGAACTTACATTTTTTGAGACAGATATTGTGCGATATCACTATTTAACATGATAAATTAACTTTTCCCTTTGAAATTGCTGGATTGCTATGCGGAATAGATTTCGGGGTGGAATTTTTGTCAAATATCAACGCATCATTAGGCATTCTTGTAAATTGTGTATTTTCTAATTGATTGCTGATTTTTCTGATATTATTTTTTTTATTTGTTTTAATTCTTTATTGTTTTATTAGTTTTGTTTTCAATATTTTTGTTATATATATATACGTTGGATTTATGTGGTAAATAAAATATGTGATTCGATAAATGTTGCGGACCACAAAATATATTTTGGCGTAAATGGCTGCAAAAGAGGCACGTGAGTAATCTGGAAAAGATTTGAAAATGAAATTCAAATCTTAGATATAGTTTCTGGGTTAAACGTTTTCAACTGGAAAAGGATTGAGTTGAAATTATACAAATGATTAACAATGAGGGACAGATTGGAAAAAACGGAATCCATTGTATGATCATCGTAAATGGTATTCAGTGATAGCTGCTTTTGTGAAGATTTGTAGAGACTGTATAATCGAACCTTGTCTGTTCTATGATGATTGATACTTGATTGTATAGGATAGATTATCATACATTCATTTGTAGTTTTCATCTTTTCCAAAAAAAAAAATTAATTTCAATCTTGGTGCATATTAACAAACTAGTAGTATTCAAAGTAATAGTTACGATTTGATTACAAAGTTAATTCCTCCATTTTTCAATTTTTATAGTTCACTTGGAAGTGAATGCCATTCTAAGTGAATAGAATTTCATTGAATGAAATTTTGAAAGTGAATGGAATTTCCGGATTTCATTCACAGAGGAACACAAATTGAAGCGAAAAATCATTAATGAATTTCCTTTGGTAAATAAATTAGAGAGAAGAAATAAGCGAGATGGGTAAGGTATAGCTCCGGAAAATAAATTCCAATTTCAAATGAAAAACGAAAGCAATAAACGAAATAAATTCCGGATTTTGGAAATATTCGAAATTTTTTAAATTGCCAATAATTTTTATCGGAATGTATGCTGGATGTTGTTTCTGAAAATTATTACGGAATATCATAGAATCTGAGATTATTTTATTATAGAATCTGAAATTTTCAAATTAATTTGACTTTCCGTAACAAATGAATATTGTATAGTTTAATTTAACTGGAAGTTAATGGCATCCATGTGATTGTTAGCGGGATCGAAAGGTTCAACAAACAAAATATTATTGAAAAAATTGGAATACGGTAGCTTGAAATACAGTAAATCACTTTGCTTACAGTAATCATCAACAATTTAATTTTCCGGAAAAAGTTTTGCCTATAGATTTCTTGCTATATGAACCATAAAAATTTGACAGGACACTTAATTATAATGAAAATAAGTTTTTTTTTCCTTTTTTCTTCATACATTCGATGAATCATTGTATTATTTTACGAAAAGATGACATCACCATTCGGTAGATTATTGACCCTATTATTCACATTCAATTTTTTCCCAGTCTAAAAGAAAAAACAACAAAATCACTGATGGCATACGGTACTGATTAAATTTCAATTTTTTTTTAATAGAACATTAAATGCAGATGTGGAATCTCAAAAAGCTTTAAAAACATTAGCAATAAAATTTGCATTAATGAATTTCAAATATTTCTATACATTATTTAGGAATGGATGCAATTTACGATGGAATTTCAGTACATTGATTCCAAAGCTATTATAATTAATTTGGATTCAAAGAAAAGTGACCGATCATTTGCTCATTATATTGTAATTTACGTGAATGCCTTCACGTATTAATTAAACATTAATCATCTATCAGTCGCAAAAACTGACACAATAATGTCACACGTTTTACAAAACAAATGCTTTTCCTCTTAAAAAAGAAAAAAAAAACAAGTGAAAAAGTTCTTCCTCGCTCAAAGGATGAAGAAAGTGCTTATATCAGTATGAATCAACGAGATAGAAAGGTCAACTTGCTTGCTAAATTTTTTATCAGTCAGGAAGAACAATGAATCGGAAAAGGATAACAGTTGGAGATTTGTCAAATTACTAATTAAAAAAATTAGATTTTCGAGCGGTTTCTGATACATTTAAATTTGTTTTGAGTATAACATTTGTATTTTTAACTTAATATTACGAAAAATGATTGAATACTAGGATAATGTGTCAGTGAATTTATTTACAAAACATTCAAAAAAATTCATGAAATTTTTATTTTCTTCAAAAATTCATTTCCATTTTAAAATAATACCTTCCATTCCAGTAAATTTTAATGACAAAACTGCTTTTAACTCAACATAACAATATCGATCATCAAAATTATTCCTGTCCATTTTTGGATTATCGTCGAAATTTTCCATCTAAAATTTCTCCTGCTTTAATAAACAATGGCCAGTGATTTTCACTTCAATTCTCAATTCTCCAGTAAACGATGAAAATCTCTCAATTAGCAAAGAATGATCAGTTTAAAAAAAAAAAAAATCGCATCAATGGAATGATCAATGCTTTTCATCCGATTGATGCAACCGAAAATGGAGAATATGTCTGTCACCAAAGGCGGAGCATCATTATCGACGACAAACGACATCGACAAAAGACGACACGAAAAACAAAATCTATGAGGAGAGGAGCTATCCGTGAAATAGACCAAACCTCTCCCTCCTCCTCCTCCTCCTCCTCCTCCTCCTTCTCCTCCTCTTCCTCCTCCTCCTTCTCCTCCTCTTCCTCTTCCTTCTTGTGCACGTTTAGTTGCTGCTGTTAGGTTGCTATTGCTCTGACTCTTTCATTCCACATATTACGATCAAATTGCACTTGATCGGATTAAATTATAACTTAATTCAAAAATCGTTAATTAAAGTTCGAGTTTCCAATTGTCACAACAATTTTGTCGCTATATCATCCAATAGCAATTGAGATGGTTTGGTGAACTGCTAAATCTTTCATTTCTTTTTGATCTAATTTTAGTTTGTAAAAATAAAATATGCATATATGAAATCTGATTTGTTACGTAGAATTTGATTTGTTAAGAGTACATCAAATTCTATACTTACAATGTGGTACTGTACATCAAATTCTACATGTAATATGAATGAAATCTTAATGTGCTTTGAAGATGATATTTTTATTTTGCTCAACTATTATTAAATAATTAAGCAATTTTTTTCCATTATAGTAATTCAAAAGCTTATCATTGCTGTGAATAGTATACGTGAATACGTGCAAAGTGCGTTATTACCATCAGTGGAAGTCATAATCAAGCAAACAAGTGTTTTTATATTGAAAATATTGCAGGATTAGTATATAAATTTTATTGCGTACATAATTAGATTAATATAGCAAATTAATGCTATAATGGTCATGACGTAAAATCTGCTGCGTGTCGTCGACGTGTTAAAATTTATTATATGATATTAAATGATCATTGTTACACTTCCTAATATTGCAGTTACAATTAAAATCAAATTAACCTGTTAATCTTGATTAAATAAATGGCACAAAGTCATATCGACATCGATTCGTTGTTGGAGGATTACGCATGGCGGCACTTCAAAGATATTCAAAGTTTACGCAAAACACGTTTAGATGATTTTAAAAGTCTCGAAAGAGAAGATGTGGAATTCATATTGGTATGTTTTTAATTCATTATATTCTATGGCGTGACAGGCAAATTAGTATTTTTCATTTTATCTTTTCTGTATTAAGTGAATTATTGTGTTTTACTGTTTTTATGTTTTTGCAATTCAATTTTTTTCGTATTGATTATTTTTATTAATCGTTTTGAAAGCTTCTACAACAATCAGCAAAGTTTCTTTTTTTAATTTTATTGAGAACTTTCTCGACGACCATGTCTTAAGTAATGACAAGATGTTATCGTCCAATTTATAAATTAATCATATTTGTCATCATTTTTATTATACAATATGAAATATGTTTATATGTACTTTAACATTTTGTACGTAATTGACTTATAGAAAGGCTGACTCATCCCGTTTTATGTTGGGAAAAATTTTTCGTTTTCATTTTTACTTTTATTTTTGCTTCATAGTAATCTTTTTTTAAACTTTGATTAATTCTAATTAAATTTTTGGATACAAAAGATTGAATCTACATTAGGCACAACTAAATACAGTGCTAAATATTTAAACAATTTTAAGCAAATTTCTTTTATTCAATAAAAATACTTAATTATTTATTTTTCAACTTATTTCACTTTCAATTTCATACAAGCAATAATTCTTTAACTTTCTTTTACTCTATCTGAAAACCGTTCAAATTAGTTACATGTTTACAATATTACCATCACATTTTGCTCTCTTTTACAACAATTGCGCGAAGGAAATTATTTGATATTTATCGAAGGAATTGACTGATATTCATCTCTCTTCAAATTCTTTCATGTTTAGACGATATTGACAAGGAATGAGTTGATGTCTAAGTGAGTGATTCTTATCAG